GATGTTAATTTTCTGAAAATCTAGCCAGCATAAAAAAAAGATTGTTCTTTCTTAATTTTAAAATTATACGAGCCTCTTACTCTAGATAAGAGCAACTGATGATGAGCACTTAAAATATTCAAAGTTTGTTGTTAAATAGAAAGAAAAAACATTTCTGACATTACAAAACCTATTGAATTTTTGTTGTTGCAATTTTCTCCATTTCTGTAATGTTTCTCTTATGAAGAAACAGCCTTCTTCAAAAAGCAAAGTAGCATATTCTATTCAGTTCCTTATCATAAAAAACATGCCATAGTCAATCAAGTAGAATTGAATACAATTTTGGTATCACAAAAATGGCTGTATTATCTGATTGACCACAGGAATGGTCATATCAAATTCAATCATAAAAACCAGTATGAGCTATTCTTCACAGTTTGAATCTACAGTTAATTCTTAAAGTAGAACATTATGATGTTGCAAACTATTATCATAAACTTATTAACAAATATTATTCAATGTTGTTAGATGTAATCTTATCACACATTCACTTCCAACTGTTTAACAATCAAAGAAGACTTTAAAACAGAAGTAGGAGGAAAAATATGTAAATAAGAGAAACAAAAGAATTTAGAAAACAAGAAATTTAATAATTGAAGCATAAAAAACAAAAAGCCTAATAATGTTTTCTACTGCATAACTTCTCCAGCTAATAAGATTCTCAGTTGTTTAAAATAAATAATCTTACAGGATAATGGAGGAGATCACCGCAGCTTTTGAAGATTTTGAAAAATTTCTGATTACTATAGAACACATCTCATTGAAGAGATAATTACTGGTAAGTTACTAATTCATGCTTGTAACATGACCAATTTCTACTGAAGATGACAGTTATGATACTAGTTACCTCTGAAACTCCCATGTTGACCTATATCCATAATGAAATTTAAGAAAGGCCCACATTATCAGCGACATTGATTAGTACCAATGATCACACAGTTCAGTGTCTCTAGACAAAAATATTTGCTATGAAGTGTTCCAGATACAGCTGTATGGACACATCTACAGCAATAACTCACGGATCTGTTTGTTTTGAATTGCATGCAAAGCTACACGAGGGCTATCTGCACTAGCTCTCCCTAATTTAGCAGTGTAAGACTATAGGGAAAGCAGCTAG